GTGTCAACTGACTGATGCGATGCACGTGTCACTGGCACTCTACTGCCTACACCCAAACCAGCATCACCCTGGTGCCGCCACCACTGCCTTCAAGTAAGTTCATGGCGTTTGGAATAAATGCGGCTTGTGCATGCGTGTTGCAACGTGGGAGTGGAGTCAGGGGTAAGAGTGCTAGAGTGAGGGAGGAGAATGGCTCGTTGAGCGCAAATGGAAGAGAACACATGTCGTTGTGCTTCTGGTGGTGATGCGAGGTGGGTTGTTAAACACAGCTGTGTGTGACACAGACAGGGGTTGATATGTTCTCACATCCAATTATATGCGTGACATACACATTTTCGATCGTGCCATGGCGCCAAGGCGCGATACTTGTCCCCTGACCGAGCTGCCCGCCAAGTAGATGGCTCAAGTGGCGACACTCCTGCAGTGATCGCAGGCACGATGACGGACACCACCACGTTGCTTGCAGTGAGTTTTGTGCGTCGTGTCAGTGTTTCTGGTGGTGAGTGGAGGTTGCCGGGCAAATACGCTGAGAGCATGGACACAGCGTGTGTTCGTTGTGAGAGTTTGCCTGTTGGCGCGCTTGCATGCATGGTGATTCACTGCCGACCACACATTCGCACACCACAGACACAAACGCGCTCGACAATGGAAACAGTGGGCAGCACGCTTGCTGCGCTTGCACCCTCGAACACGCAAGGCTGCGATCGGAGCAAACAGAAACAAGGAGGCTTACTCGGCTGAACTGCACTGAAGAAGTGAAGGTCTCTTTCATGGCTCTGGCTCTGGCTTCCCGTCTTTCTCCCTGATATAGCACACATCAGCCCAGTGACTGCCTTGGCAGATGTGCACACTCGCTGTGAGCACTCCACAGGCCTGCAACCAACCACAGGTACACGCACTGTGCTCTTTGGCGTGGGATAGCTCTTGCTAGTTCAGGGAGCATCGCTTTCACATTGGAGAGAATCGACCACGCAGTTCACAAGATTTCGTTCTTTGAGCACACACACACACACACACCATACACACACACACACCATACACACACACACACACACACACACACACACACACACACACACACACACACACACACACACACACACACACACACACACAAGCTCCGGTGCGTGTGCATGTGTTGGGCTGTGCTTGGTTGATCATGAGCCGATCGTGCGTTTGCGCGAAACGCATACAACCACGATTGCTCACTCTCGTCTTTACTGACACGCCACACAAACGTTCACACTTTGCGGTTGCCGTTTGGGCTTGTCAGTTCCAAGTGGCATGACTCCATGCAAGCCAGAAGAACGACAGAGGCGGCTGCAACCATGCCAACGCGTGCCCTCGTGTGGTTATGACAATCGTGCTGGTTGCTGAGGCTGCCACACAATCCATCCAACCCACGCACATAAGGTAGTGTGTAGATGAGAGTGTGTGTGTGTGCGCGCGCGCGTGTGTGTGCGTGTGTGTTTGTGCGTGGGCATGCGCATGTGTGTGTTTGTGCGTGTGCGTGTGCGCGCGCGCATGTGTGCGTGTGATTGTGAGTGGTGCTGCTTCGAGGGCAAGTCCCCTGCGCTTGGAACAGCGTGCGGGGGTGCTTGCGTGTTCATGCCAGTGCTCTACGTTGTCTTTCACACGCACACCGTCTTGCGTGCGTGTGTTGTGTGTTGGACTCCGCCAACCTCCTGCAACGTGCAACTGACCCTCACAATGCCAACATGCGCGCGCGTACATGCATACACACACGCATACTCGGGCAGACGGATGCTGGGTGAATACCTCTCTCTGTCCACATCGCAACGTCGCAGCACGCGAGCAGCGATTTCATTCCACGGTCCGTTCCACAGGCAATGCGTGTACGTGTGTGTGTGTGTGTGCGTGTGTGCGTGTGTGCGTGTGTGTGTGTGCGTGTGTGTGTGTGTCCTCTCACGCTTTCCCTTGGTGTGCTTTGCTGCTGCAGAATCAAGACAGATGCCACCGTGTTGTGCACGAGGACAGCAAAGATTGAACAAGACGCATGGCGTGCTGAAGCAGCAACAGCAGCAGCATACACGGGAAGGGGAGATGAAATACATCATCCACTCCAACAACAACGAACAGCAACAGACAACAGCAACAACAGACAGTGATGACGGTCGCGGCCCTTGAATAAACGACAACAACACACACCACAGGAAAGGAGGAGACGAAGAAGCTGAAGACCATCGACGCAGAGAGGCCGACACAAGCACAGACACCAACACATAACGAGGACAGCAGCGGAGAATCAAACCACAATCCGCCCGTTCCCTTTGACAACTGGCCTGGCCTGATGCAAGCACGCGTCCACATGCCCCTTCTTCTTCATCGTCATCATCGTCACCATTCGCCATCCTGAGCAGCGCCACTGCCACTGCCGCCGTCTCCGCCGCTGTTGTCAGCGCGGCGTGGTGGCGGCGGTGGTGGTGGTGGAGGAGGAGGACTAGCCAACATCATGTGCTGCGCGGGAAAGACGTGTTGCTCACCGGCCGCGTTGCGCCGCACGTGTGGATGTGTGCGCAGCATCTCGCCCTGCACGCGCTGCTGCTGCCGCTCGCCCAGCGGTGGATGAGCGATGTGCCCCTGCGGCAGCGGCAGACGGAGTCCCACCACGTGTTGGCCACCATCCACAACCTGGTGGTGGAAATGATAGTGGTCGTGATGGTGGTACTGGTGGCAGTAGTGGCAGAAGCCGTGCGTTGCTGGCTGCTGCTGCTGCTGCTGCTGCTGTTGAGCGCGCTGCTGTGGGAACGACTGGTACATCTGTAGCGGCTGCACCGTCGGCGCCAATGGCGCCATCGTCGTCGTCATCATCATCTGCTCATAAACGGGAGCGAGCCCCGGATAACCAGGCGGTGACATCGCGCCATGGTACTGCTGCTGAAATGGCAGTGGTGATGGGAGAAGTGGTGTACGGACCCCTTGTGGCACGTGCTGTTGCTGCTGTGGGTCGTGGGCGCGTGTACCAGCAGCTGCTGTCACCATGGGTGCATGCGGTGGCGTTGCTGCTGCTGTTGGCTGCGAGCGACGATGGCGCTGTTGGTGTTGGTGTTGGCGACTGCGCTCCCGCTCAAGAAGATTGAGGACCAGCCAGTATTGAGGAAGGTGGCGGTGGTGGCGGCGGCGGCGCATGCGGCGATGAACCGATTGAAGACCGCGCATACGCGCAGCACTCGTCTGCTGGGTTTGCATCCACGCCCGCTGCACAGGGTGCGTACACGACACAGGGTGGGTGTGAGGAATTGTGTGTGTGTGTGTGTGTGGGTTGTGTGTGCGTTAGTGGTGACGAAGAAGCGATGGTGCAAGGGGTTGTAGACGTGCCCATGATTCACTGTTGCACACACGCACACACACACGCACACGCGCGCTCACACACACACACACACACACACACGCTCACACGTGCTTCCACGACATGCATACACATGCGCACTCATGCACACAC